ACAAACTGGTATACTCGTTCAAGGTTTATCAGCTCGTCTTCACTCTTTTAGACACGCTTTTCAGATAGCCCAAAAATCGATTTTTGGGGCTGTTTGTACAACAACTGTATTTTCATAACGAATCAACATTCAGAGCCGAGGCACTTTATTTTGTAGAGAACTGTTTAATCTCTTTAATAATTATCTAGTTGCCATTTTAGATTAGTTTGTAGCTTTATTGCAATAACTGTTCGACAAAGAGCAAAAAATGGAGGCCGTTAGCTGGACAAGCTGCCTAAATCACGAAAAGAAGAACGGTATTTGATTATGTGGCTGTTACATAAAAAGCCTATCAGCGTTGCTTCTACGAAGCAAAAATATCAGAAGGTCCTATTGAACTGTTGGGCTATGACACAGAAGGTGTATAAATAGAAGGAAGTTAAATAAAAATAGTAGCGCGTGAGAGAAACTTCGAATTAACGGCTGTTTTTTCCTGTTCATATGGAGAGGTATGGTAATAATTTTTAAAACTTGTGTCCAACAACATCAGATCAATAATGCACTGTCTGTTACTAATCGATTCAGTACCCGTAAAACAGATCCTAGTTCAGTGTTTCAGCCCGCATTTTTCATAGGCAAATCGAAATGGTCTAATATTTTTGATTTGACTATGATTGGAAACGACCTTTCGTTTGAGGTATAAAAATCGAAAATCAAAAATTTTTCCCCAACAACGCTGAGCGGTTCTGGGCGGACCCTCTCTTAAATGAAAGCCCATATTGTGAAATCTTTAAATCAAAAATATTAGCATATTCTGACTTACCTATGAAAAATGCGGATGCTTGCATTATAACTAGCGAGCATTATGGGAGGTAACTGTCACAAGCGTGACCGTGATCAATTTCCAAGATCGCCTCGTGACCGTGACAGGAAGTTCAGTCAGGGTGGGTCATAACTCTTTTTCCACACTAGTTTTTGTGATTTTTTTTTTCTTCGCTTGGGCGCTGGTGATATGTTAAAGAAAAACACAAAATAAGTAGGCCAGACATTGCTAGACACGTAACAACAACTTCGGCTTTTTAGGAAAAATTCTTGAGAGTGCGGCTGGGTGTCGATGTGAGGGCATGTGTGTGGGTCTTCATTTCACGCACACCGAGCGAACACACGCTCCTCACACCCCACACCCACACACTTATACCCACACTCACACGCACCCTCGATAGAATGAAAAGGTGCCATTATAATCGATTTCTAATTCACATCTTATATGGGTGTGGACAAACTGAAAGTCGGGGTGTCTCTGACGGTCTAATATCGATTCCGTCGAGGGATTCACTCAAACACCGATGGAAACAATCTTTCTCTCAAATGCTCAATCGAGTAGAACAATTTTTCTTTCATGTCGAAAACGAACTTGAGCACATTTTTCCGCTGAAGTCAATCAAATGAACGATGTCCCCGATCAGACCATGGATATTCATACTTTGAAGCGCCATGCCACTCATCCACGGCAAACTTTCGTGTACCGTCCCAATGGATCTTGTTCAGGTTTTTCTCGTACCATTCTTGTCCTGCTCATTTCAATCGTTAGACTGGAGACGAAAATACTGTAGGTTTATGACAAAGATCTCCTTTGTCAAGATCGAAGTAGTTTCAGCCAGTTTTCGGGTATATTATTAAGACATGTAGTAATCACATATTCTGTCTAAATTACCACCATGCCCAATCGAAAAGCGATATATCGAGTTGAAGAAATATAAAGCCTTTGATTATCTATTTGAACAATCGTCTCTGATCAAAATTTCGGTTCACACAGATACAATATTGAGAGGACTCGTAACGCCTTTGAATTGTCATACATCTCAAGGTCGTTAAGTCGTATACTTTCTACGACTTGCTGGTTGGCTGTGAGTTTCTGTATATAAAGTCGTAGAGTGGTAGATAAAATATTTATATCAAGTCTTAGTGCCGTACGACTCAGTCATAAAGTCGTAAAGTCGTAGCGCCGTACGACTCAGTCTTAAAGTCGTAATGGATACTAAAGTCGTTACGACTAGGACAGAACTCTCGTTTGTGCACAGCGCAAGAAGGAAAAGTAACTCTCCACAGAATCCATGTCAAATGTTGAAATCTTGCCGGGAGGAAAGGTGTCTTACAGATTTGGGCGACTACTCATTTCGAAGAAAAGACTTGGCTCTAGAAGTAAAACATGGCGCCTGTAAATAGAAGTTTTATCGGATGGGTTCGAAAGAACAAGTCTTCGAGCTTCTAATGGCTATTTTTGAAAGAGAACGTTTTCATAAGACGGAGACAGGTGGAAGCTATTTTCTGATACGGCCTGTTCAGGTGAGTTTCTACTCGATGTTGTGTTAACTCTCGATTGCCAATAATCTTCCATAAACTCTTCGGGCGATACATACCTTTACAGCCGAATAAAAGCTACTTACCTTCTCTTCTTCTGATAAGAGTAACAAATGTTTTGTGTCCACTCATACCTTTGTTGCATAATCAAATGTAACCGTTACTGATAAGGTTACAAGTTCTCAAATGTTGAGTAACAAAAAATATTAGATGAAGGAGGCTGCAGTCAATGATAAATTCCATGTTCCATTCTCTCTCAGGCTTAAATAGTTTTTTAAATAGATTGCTGGGTTTCCGACTCATCCGTCATGCAGTTTTATAGAAGATTAAAGTTTACATTTTGTGTTGTAATGTAAACACACGAATTTTGCTACTAAATTTTCAGTTGAAAACTTAATTTTTTTTAAATATTCTGTGAAAATTAGAAAACTGAAGCTATTCCCTAAGTGGAATATCAGTGCCTCAAAACTCTATCAAAATTCATTTATTTTCTGTGTAACTTTTAAAAATGGTATAATTCACCATTTCTGACACAAATACAACTGTAGATCATTCCAGTTTTATATTCCACCTAGGGAACAGCTTCATTTTTCTAATATGATCAACGCTGAGTTTGCCTACATGATACAATTTTAGACCATTCAAGATTTTCCTTTGGTTTGAAATCACATTCCATCGATTATCTTTGCAATTCTTCGATCAACCACAGTAACCGTAAAGTACATTCACTTTTATCAGTAACGACATGAACCTATTATTTTCTGAACAACCAATTTTTCTGTCACAGAAAAATTGTTTTGTTACAGTCGTCGAGTTGCTACTTGTTTAGATAGTCCTATAATAGATGAAGCGAGAACAACATCACTGAAGATCTATTTCTTTCGCATATGCGCTGGTAGCATGAAGATGAATGCTCGTGAGTATTTTTTGAATAATGTTTAATAGCAACAAGATAGAGAACTGCGATTTTCATCATTGGAAAGAGGAGATGAAGACGCATCGAACCATATATTACTGATTTTTCTAACCTGTTTTTTTGTTAGATTTTTAGTTGACCTTTTAATGAACAAACCTATCGCGTGAATTGTTTATAGTGAATTTCCAATAATCAGGTTCACATTCAAACCGCTAATCAAAGATCTACAAACTGCGAAAGACTTAGATGTAAATTTAATTATTTGTGGATAATGCGTATTGTAGACGAACCTCTACTGCGATTTTCGATCAACTTTTCTGTTTTTTCTTTTTTTCATAAAAGAAGCATTTTTCCGACTGTTAGAAAATTGAACAAAAACACTTCAGAAGTCATATTAGAAAAATCAGTAATCTACAGTTCGATGCGCCTTCATCTCCTCTTTCCAATGATGAAAATCGCAGCTCTCTATCTTGTTGCTATCACATGTTATTCAAAAAATACTCACGAACAATCGTGGTCAAAATTTTCCCTTCATATTTTTGAACAAGAGTCACATAGTCGGAATCAGTTTGACATTCTGCGTCGAATGAGGTATGTGCCACGTTGGAAAAGTTATTTTCAATTTTTCGGAAAATTTCTAGCACTTATCCCTCCTCTGGAACATCGATAACATTTTTTACTCAGAATTTTTCAAAAGATACTTCATTTGATGAAGTTAAGTTTTGACCGAAAAAGATCGATTTCACTGATAGCTGACGCTAGCGACCTTTTCATTAAAAGAAGGTTTTTTCGCCTTGAATTTGGTTTGGAAACCTCCAAAACAACCTAGATACACTCAAAAATGTCCGGCTTTCTCAAGTGAAATAGAAAATCCGCTTCAAGTTAGTGTTTTCAAGTCAAAACGCCACTTGAGGTCGAAAATTCGTGAAAAATCTGGTATTTGGCCTCGTCTTTGACTTTTTTCGTCTACTCTGGCTAGTTTAATATTTTTAGGATTTTCACGTTGAAAACGTACCGCGATTTTTATCCAAAACTGAAAATGAACTAATAATTTCGAAGTACACACCATTCGCCTCAGTTTTTGATCCTGATTGCGAATATGATATTCTTATTGCTCAAAAGTTCGGTAAGGGCCAGAAATTTTCCGAAAAATTGAAAATAGTTTTTGCAAAATGTCATATACCTCATTCGACACAGAATGTCACGCTGATTCCGAATATGTAACTGTTGTTCAAAAATAGGAAGGAAAAATTTTGATCCTTATAAGTCCTCGTCCTTTAACTATTTATTGTTTATTAAATAATACACTCTATGTTTCGGTCTCGTCTTAGAGCCATTTTCAAGAGAAATGTACAATTAAAATTTTTAAATGTACAACTACACACTATATCAATATATATTGAAAATGGCTCTAAGAACAGCCGGAAACCTAGAGTACATTATGTTAATAAAGAATAATTAGTTAAATTTTGTCAATATGGCTGCTTCTCTAAAATATTACTTATTTCGATTATTGGCTCTTACGTCATCGAATTTTGTTTGCATTTATCTTTTGGAACCATATTACGATGTTCTCGACATCGTTTGATGACATGACATGAGACCGACAGATTAATCTTTTCGCCTTTAGAAATTCAGATGTTGTAACAGTAGTAATATCTTTTGCACAATCACTTATCAAATACGCACTTTCATATGTAATACCTTGGATAAAATAACAGGCATGTATAATACTGTGAGATGAAAATGACAAAGAATTACCTGTCGATGCTAACACTGTCCCTTTGATTGCTTTAAATAAATCCACAAATGGAGAGACAGCTTCGTCAGACGATATTAAATCAACACCAAATGGATAAAATCTTCGACTGGCATCGTGCATCCAAACACTAGCATTGGTAAATTATTTCAGCTGATCATGTATGTTGCATGTACTTGAAATAACAAGAATAAGGCACCAATTGAGATAAGTAGTCTTATTGTAAAGAAAACGAAGACAGTTTCACATGAATTCATTTCATATTTGGGTACAAATGACGGGTGTGGTGACTGTATGCTTCTGGCACCACTGACGAAAATCATCCACCGAGAACATAGACGGTCGGGTTAATGAGTGTTGATAATTTAGAATGCTTATTACTTGTTGGTGATACACATCCATTATATTCATGCTGAATAGCTCGTTATACTTGTGACTGAGTTAATCTAGTAGCAACCGATTTTCTAACCATATCGCGAACAGGTGAGGGTTGACCTGTTGTCGATGCACGACTACGATGATTATGTGCGTTAGATATGTACACAAGAATTTGCTTTTGCGAACTGAATACTGTACGAACTTGAAAATTACAGTCCAATATTTGGTGCTATCCACACAGTGAGCAACCATGTGGACATTAGGTGAAAAAACGAAAGTGAGATTTTTCGAGATTTGGATAGCAGAGCATATACTTCATCATACACACTATAACTTTGCCATTGCAAGTCCTTTTAAGGCGTCAGTTTTAGGGGAACAGAGCAGCCCTTCAGAGTCACCCTTTTAGGAAAATAGAGCAGCTAAGATAGAAAATCATTTTGCGACGAATCAATAGACGATATTTATTAGCACTTTTCTGCATAATCTAAAACTATGCTTTTCCATAACCGATAAAATTAGGTTTCTTTTTTTGCTACGTGTTTTCCGAAAATGTGCGCTCAGTGTAATCGGTTTCCGATTTTTCCCGAAACTTCAATGCCAACGAATTTTTTAGCCAAGGTAGACCTACTAACGATATATATATAGTGATAGTGCAAACAATCCTGGATCGGGTTATAGGTTTTCCAAAAACGCTTGGTTTTGGAGATAAATCCGGATTATCTCAGTCCAGGAACATTGACATTAAAAACCAATGATATATTTGGAATCAGCGCAAAAGACGGCGTCGAATAGTGTATAATTCACCCGTGTTTGTGCTGAAAATTTTGAATTTGGTTGATTCCTTTGTTTCTTGCATGTGCGCATAGGGATTTTTGACTGAAATTGTCAACATGTGAAATTATCAACAGATGAAACACTATTACAATAGGTTATCGATGATTCTCTATCCAATGAAATTGTTTTCCAGTTTTCTAAATGTTTTCTAAGTGATTTTCTAGAGATCGGATCTCCGAAAAACCAGTGTACAAGTTTTCCAGTGTACAACGTCTTCCTCTCTCCGTAATCGTCGAGACGTATACGCTTTCAGACAAGTTAGTATTTTTCTTGAGAAACAGCTTGTTTTGTACCGAACAAGGAAGTACAACTCAGTTTTAGAGGGTTTTCTGAGTAGCATATAACACTTGAAGAGAAACCTAAGGACGTAGTTTACTTACGACTCATAATTTCTCGTCTTTCACAAAAATACGCTACACTATATGGCTCTAGCATTAAGCAAATTTGATATAAGCTTTATTCTGTCAGAATACAAGCGGAAAATATTCCATTATAGTATTCTAAACTAAAACTATCGAAAAACACAAAATCAATTTTGTACGAATAGAGATTCGAACATGTGAACTTAGCTTTGTAGTAAACTACTACAAAACTAAATTCACTGTTCAAATTTTAAGTTTAAGCAAATTTGCTTTCTAATACATACCAGCATATATTAATAAGTAAAATTTTAAAGCAGTTGTTGGGGCTCGTGTGAAGCTAAAGAACCTACCTGAAAGACTCAGTGGAAACGTCTATAAAAAAGCTACCTCTTTCCATTTGTATTCTAGTTTTATATTATATCATGTCACAATTTTGTTGAAACATCAGTCGAAAAATCGTAGCATATTTTTCACTTCTTAAACGGTAAGTTAATCAAAGAAATATTAGGAAATGAATGCTTTTGAAGTTTAGAAACCTTGACCTTCCCAGTAAAATAAACAATTTCCTATTTAAGCAACGTCGTTTGATCCGGCCAACGGAACAGACAAAAAATCCAAATTAATGTCTACAAATTGGACTTACGTAAGCTATTTTAATACCAGTATTGGTGTTCCTTATGTATTATTTGGTTTTTTATTGCTTGTAATATTTTTAATTGTTTATCATCCTGGTATATTTTATTTATATTTGAAACGATTAGTACAAACAAAAAAAAATATGATAAATATAACCCAGATGATGAATCGATGGATATATTTGGTCACGAACTGCCCTTAACACAGTAAAATATTCTTCTTTACGTTTCATATTAAGAGATTCATTAATTGTTTTTCCAATCACTACATTATTAGTTTATCTATTTCAAGTATTCAAGTATTATTGTTGCCAATTCAAACTGTTTATCGAAAAGACCAATGTCTAGATGTTTCAACTATGAATTCCTTTTATTTTCATCTATTTGGATCAATATACTCATAAGTCAATTTAAATGTTTAACAGAGCAAAATGTATCATTCTTAATTCATCTGGTGATAATGCTGTTTGTTATCCATGGATGTATAAACAACAA